GGCCGGGTGAAACAGACGCGGCGGCGCTGGATGAGCAGCGTCAAAGGAGGAGGAGGAGGAGGAGGAGGAGGAGGAGGAGGAGGAAGAGGAGCAGTAGAGGGGGGAGGAACGACCAGCCCTTAGGCGACCACAGGCAGTTCGTCTAGGGGGCATGCCGGCTCGCCTTGTGTAGTTGGTAGGTGGACATGCTCGTGGAGCACGGATTGCGCCATTGACCGCTGTAGAGTTGTCCCTAAGATGCCCCACCACCTGTGCACCAATCCCGTTGTTGAGCCCCGTCGTATTCGTCCTGGGAGGTGCAGGCATCTTTCTCGCGCCGCGCTGGTACAAGGGTAATCGGTCGTGGGCCCCACCTCCCAAACACCTCCCAGCCCAAGCATTGAAGCGATCCCAAACCAGCGGCATGCACCTCATGATATGTATCATTGTTGACTTGTCTTCTCCTGCCTGTTCTAACAATCTCCCCGCCTGATTGCTAGGGCTGGGTCGTGGGCACCCCATCCGTGTAATGGGGGGAAACCACCGTGATATCGCAGAAGAGCAGTAGTCCCCTCGCAACATTGAGGTATGGGACGACGAGGTCAAGACGTCATGCGTCTCCGGTTGGCACTGGTATGTGTTCGCCGTTGCAGGCGCTCCGAGTTATTGTCGAGGTTGAGGACCCCCGCCTCCGTGAAAATTTGGCGCCATGCTGACACCATCCAGGTATGCCGTGTGTTCAAGCGTGAAGTGTCGTTTGTCATCATTTTGGCATGGCCATGAGGGTCTCTCCCATCACATACCACCCCAATTCCCAGTAGCCGTCTGATACCGCACAGCATGTGTGGATTTTGTAACACCGAGAGATCGGTAGTAGGGCAAGCCGTGAGCCACGTCGCCGCATACGCTTCCGTACAAGGTCGTAGCCTTGCTTTCCCGGTTGTAGCTGCGTGTCGTCGGGCTGTTGGCCCAGCCCCCACATGCTTGCAGCAAGGAGCGGCACGCACGACGTTCACGGTGGGATAATGCATGACATTGCCATCCATCACCAGCCTCGAACTTATCCCTGTCGCTAAGATCGACACGCCAAAAGGCGATGACAATCTCAGGGCTGCGCCCTGAAAAAACTGAGGGAACCCCTAAGGTTGGCATTGTGATGAGGCGATGCCCAGCTTAGGGACAGGGGTATGTTCCAGGCTGGCAAGTCCATGCCCCCGAGCTTCCCAAGTCCTGGCGCTGTGCCGGTGGGCCTGGTGGCCGGCCGCCGGCCACCACTCGCGGCGCGGGCTGGGCGGCTCGCCCATCCCCGCGTCGCCGCACCGTGCCATGCTGCTGCCTCCGCCGCCGCAAGGCGAGGTGGACGACGCTGCGCTGCTTCCGGCCCCATCCGTGCTGAGCGCTTGGAGTCACCAGCCTCGAACGTATCCCTATCCCTGAGATTGACACGCCAAGAGGCGATGACAGTCTCAGGGGTGCGCCCTCCCAAACTGAGGGAGTCCTTCAAGATCGCCATCGTGGTGGGGCGATGCCCAGCATAGGGATAGGGACATGCTCCAGGCTGGTCAGTTGTGCTGTTTCCGGCTCCTCCGTGCTTAGCGCTTGGAGGTGACGCAGGACGTCGCGCCCTGCATCTGAGAATCCACGGACCAGCCCTTGCAAAGGGTCTGCCCAGACTGCCCAGTAAGCAGCGGGCGCTGGTCGTCGGGAATCCCTGAGCCCCAAGCCGCCCAACCGTAGAGGTAGTTTCACCTGCTCCACCCAGGCGCCGCACGAAACTCCATGGAGTGCTGTGTCCCACTCTGCATGCCCGGGGATGGCGCACATAGTCCTGAACATGAGCAGGATATGATTATCATGGGCGTCGGCCGCATGTCGAGATTGAGCCGGCGTCGCAGTCCGTAACAGATGGTTCAGCTTCGGCACGCCAAAAAGTAGAGCAATAACCACGCAGATTGAAGAAAAGGGAGCTCAAGTAGAGTCTTCAGCAGCTTCGCCTTTTCCTCCGCTTGCGCATGACCGAATGTAGAAATATAAGCGTCCGTGCCGACTGGCGCGCCATGAGTGCGTGTTTTTTTCTTCGTGTCCTGGTCTTTCGTATAGCCAGGCGTTCGGTGCCCTGTTGTGCAATCAGAGGGGCAGTTGTCGTGTGTTTTATTCCATACTGCGAGGTTTTCAACGTTGACGCTGCTGTGGCATACTTCCGCTAACGTCGTGCGCACATGGTCGTAAATATGAACAGCATCTTGCGGTTGGCAGAAGATGAACATATCGTCCAGGCGCGCTATAATTTCGAATCCTGGTGGTAGACGGGCCCGAATGCCCTGCACCGCAGGATGGAGTGCTGGTGGGCGGCGCTAGGGGGGTTGGGGTGCACCTTGCCTGGATAGGTCGGCGGAGTGCGCGTAGTCTCGTGAGGAGGGGCGACAGCACACGGTCTCGACCCAAACGACTCTCTCCTCCTCCTCCTCCTCCTCCTCCTCTTTCCTCCTCCTCTCTCCTCCTCTCTCCTCCTCCTCCTCCTCCTCCTCCTCCTCCTCCTCCCCCTCCCCCTCCCCCTCCCCCTCCCCCACGTGACCTCGTCCCATGCTCGCCCGTCGCTGGAGAGGTGGGCGGGCGGACTGCGGTGCGCCGCGCGCTCCGCGGCCTCATCCGGGCAGCGCACAAGCAACGTGCGGGGTCGCGTCGCAGGAGCCCATTGGGTGCAGTATCGGGGGAGCGTAAGACCCGGGTTTGCCAGGACTCGGGTTCGCCATCGTTTGTTGACGACCGCGCCTCGGATTTTGACGAGGAGGAGTCTTGTGGGATGTCTGCAGCGGGAGGCCTCGTCAAAGTGCAGGCTCGGCCTCGTCGTTTTTGTTGACGACCTCGTCGGGGATTTCCGAGTCCCCTGTACCCAGGTCTTGCGTCTTCCTGATAGTAGGTGCGCAGAATCCGGAAGGCATTGTCAAATCGGTTCTGTGTCGGTGTTTGGACTGCGCTGTTTCGATTCGTTCCGCCCTTGTCAGCCCCGGCATCATGTTTTTCTTCTGGCGTGCGCTGGCCTCAGAAGAAAGTTCGAGGCCATTATGTTGGGATGATGCGTTTCGATCCGGGATACACATCTGTGCATAAACATGTGTATACACGTATACACATATATTCATATTGATTTGTACATCTATACGTATCTATATTTTCATGCTTGTTATTTTAGTTATTATCATGTTGTTTGTTATGATGAGTCTGCAGGTTTTGAATCTTGCGCACGGACCAATGCCCTGCTAAACATGCGCATGCTACACACAAGCCCACGGCTGCATTATCCAGCTGGTTGCGGCAAACGATGTATTTCGAAGAGGGACACTTGCACAAACATAATCTTGTGGAACCCCGCGCGGGGTTCTTGAATCGGCGCTGGCACCCCTGGCGTCGCCCCCAGCACCGCCCCGAAAGCTTACTTTCATTTTTTTGTCATTCTATAATAGTTGTGCCATCCCCGCATAGAATGTCATTTAGGATGGTCTTCTCCAGCCCTCCCGCGCAGGCTCGGTGACATCGCCGTGGGACGTCTGGGAGCGTGGCGTGGCCGCAGCGCTGCATGGGTGCAGCGTTGCCTCGTGGAGGTTCCGTGGAGGCATCTCGGGGACTCTTGTGAGGCGTCTCGGGGGTGCTCTCGGGGCCTCCTGGGGCCTCCTGGAGGGCCTCTCGGAGGCTCTTTGGGAGTCTTGGGGGGCCGTCTTGGGCGCGGTCGTTCTACCTCAGTCCTCTCGAAGAGACTCGGTGGAACCATCGTGGGACCTCGTGGTGCCCTCTTGGTGGCTTTTGGGAGCATCTTAGAAGGACAGCGACGCCGACTACGACGGCTACCCAGACCCCTGGCGTGGTGATTATTTCCCTCGTGGACTTCTAGAGGTCAAGACTCATTCCCAGGGACCAGTGTCCCATTGTATTATAATATTTTTGTTGGTCCTGAGGCCGGGCAAAAGTCTCCAGACGCAGAAAATTGCAAAACATTGCCCGTCGTGTTTTCAGAAACTACTCGAGGAATGTTCCCTTCTCCCCATGTTTTCCGGAGCAAGTCGCTGCTAATCCTCTCGGAGGGGTGCCTGAGCTTGGACCCGACCCCGCTGTTGAGCGGATCGGGGTCGACTTCATCTGAGGCCTTGCGCTTTTCCGGTTCTCCTCCCGCGCTCAGGCCGAAGGGCTTGGGCAGCGGGTCCTTGACAAGAGACGCCGAGTGGGTGCCGATGCCTAGGATGACGGTATTTGATTTGTTGATGAATATTTAATGTGGTGGCACCTTTTGCTGGCTTGGGTCTCGTAATGTCCCTTGCCTCTTCCACTGATTCTCAGCAGCTGAGATTCTTCAGTGCGTCAGTCAGCTTGTGTGAAACATAACGAGTTGTTGATTATGATTGTTATGCTTTTCAGCTAACATACATGTCCGCAGGGCGCCCCTTTCAGGTTGACAACGGATACAGCATCTTATCACCTTCCTGCCCCGCCAGGAAGGCTGGGCGTTGCGTGTTTGCCCTGCCCCGCCAGGGGCACTCAGTGTTTGCCACTCGCGCCTGGGCGTGTGAGGCTGACAGGCTGAGTTGCCGATTCTTAATTTTGCGCAGAAGAAAGACAAATCTACTCGAGGGGGTCTGGTCTTCGACGACGACCAGGACGAGCATCCTTGGCCGTCATTGTGCCCTCTTTGGGGTTCCTGAGGCCATCTTGGAAGGACAGCACTGTTAGGATGCAACTCCTGGGAGGTTAAATTCAGTATCGGCGCTGGCATATGCGTGGTCGGAAGCCACCCTAATCCGCCATAGTCCTGCCCAGTCCCGCTTCATCCCATTTGACCCCCCCGTTCAATCCGGCTTGAGTTCGAAGTTCAGCCCGATCCAGTTCAATTGGTTTTTAACTTGGTTCAGTAGCACCTTATCGTTCTTGCGAAGACCTCCCAGGAGTTGCCTGTTAAGCGACGCCGACTACGACTTCCACGACGACGACACAGGCGACCACGACGATGAGAGCGAGCGGCTTGCCAGCAGGCGGTGGCTACGCTGCAGCGCCTCGGCGCCGCGTCGATGGCGCTTGGACCCGCCGAGCAGGTGCCCCTGTGGAAGCCGCCCTCGAAGGCGGCAGCCGCCTGCCGTTCCCGTCACTCGTCGTCGTTGGCGCGGCGGTCGCCCGGCGACCACCACACCGACCACGACGAGCGACGTCCCGCCCTCCATGCGAAGGGGGGGGGACCACCGTCGCGCCGACGACGACGAGCGACGACGCGACGACGAGCGACGACCCCACGAGGACGAGCGACGACCACGCGCCACAGCGCCGACGACGACGAGCGACGAGTCATCTGGGGGGCGACGGCGACCGTCGCCGTCGACCGCCAGGTGAGGAAGAATCAGAGGAGGGCGAGTTGAGACAACGGTGTTTGGACTTCTGGGGGCCCCCTCGCCGCCACGGCCAGACCCAACCGGAAAAGGTGCGGTTGGACCCCAGGACCCTTGGAGGGTTCGGGGACCGATTTGGAGTGGCCGTTGTCGCAATTCGCCTTGCTCCGAAAGCCGACAGAAGAGTGTGACATATTAGGTCCCAGCCATGTTGTGGTGTTGGGCCCTCGTGTTGAAGAGACATCGCCCCGCGTCACTCACGCCGTCCATGCTTCCTCCTCCCCTTCCGCCTCCCTCCTCCATCATCATCAAAATCATCATCAGCGCCAGCATCAGCATCATTATCAGCATCAGCATAATCATCCTCTTCATCATCGTAATCACCATCATCATCAGCATCAGCATCTTCATCCTCATGGTCACCACCGTCATTGACATCATCATCAGCAGCATCATCATAATCATTATCAGCATCATCGTCATCATCACCACCATCATCATCATCATCATCATCATACTCATTATCATCATCAGCATCATCATCATTGTCGGCATCATCATGAGCACTATCTTCACCACCACCACCATCATCATCATCAACAGCATCACCATCAACATCATCAGCTTCCTCATCAGCATTGCCGATCCTCTCCTTCTCCTCTCCCTCCTTTCTCCTCCCGTTATCACCAACCTCCTTCTCATAATCATCAGCATCATCATCATAATCAGTATCATCATTACTCCCATGAGCACCATCATCAGCAGCATCATCAGCTGCATCATCATCATCATCATCATCATCATCATCGTCATCATCATCACCATCGTCACCATCATCATCATCATCATCATCATCATCATCATCATCATCATCATCATCATCGTCATCATCGTCATCATCATAATCATAATCATAAGCACCATCACCATCATCATCAGCAGCATCATCATCACTGGTTTCGGCATCGTCATCGTCATCGTCATCATCATGATCATCATCAGCACCCGGCCGTCTGCTCTCCGCATGGTATCCCACTCATGCTTCGTGGCCCTATAGGGAGCTCCACCGAAGGTGCCAATGGCACCGCCCGCATGCGTCACCCCCACCCAGTGACCGATGTCCACACCGAGGCGCCCGAGCGCATCGTCTCCGCTACTGGGTTGGGGAGGCTGCCGCACCGTATTGACATGCGCAGCGTTCCGGTGTCCATACTGAGCTCCACCGGAGGCCCCAATGGCTGTGTCCGCATGCTGTTCCCCCACCCAGAGCAACGGTTCGTGGCTCCATAGGGAGATCCACCGAAGGCCTCAGTGGCGGTGTCCGCGTGCGTTCCCCCCCCCCCCCTTTATAGCATTTTGTGGCCCCACAGAGAGCGCCACCGAAGGACCCAGTGGCGGTGTCCGCATGCCTCTGCCCTACCCAGTGCAGCTTTCCGTGGCCCCATAGGGAGCTCCACCGAAGGCCCAGTGGCGGTGTCCGCATGTGTTTCCCCACCCAGTACAGCATTTCGTTACCCATGATGAGCTCCGCTCCACCGAAGACCCCAGTGGCGGTGCCCGCATGCGTTTCCCCATTCAGTACGGCGCTTCGTGACCCCATAGGTAGCTCGTGGCGGTGTCCGCATGCGCTTCCCCCACCCAGTATACGCGCTTCGTGGCCCCACAGGGAGCTTCACCGAAGGCCCCAGTGGCGGTGTCCGCATGCCTTTCCCCCACCCGGTGCAGCGCTTCGTGGCCGCACAGGGAGCTCCACCAACTGCCCCAGTGGCGGTGTCCACTGGCCATTCCCCCACCCAGCCAGTACAGCGTTTCGTGGCCCCACAGGGAGCTTAACCGAAGAACCCAGGGGGAGTGTCCGCATGCTTTTCTCCCACACAGTATAACGTTTCGTGGCCACATCCAGGGGGCTCTACCGAAGGCCCCAGTGTCGGTGTCCGCACTCGCCCCCCCCGCCCAGTACAGCTTCACCGAAGGCCTCAGTGGCGGTGTTCGCATCCGTGCCTCAACCCAGTACAGCGCTTCGTGGCCGCACAGGGAGCCCCACCGAAGGCCCAGTGACAGTGTCCGCATGCCTTCCCCCACCCAGTACAGCGCTGCGTGGCCCTCATCTGGGGCTCCACCGAAGGCCCCAGTGGCATGTTTCGCATGGCTACCCCGTTCGATTTCGGCGCACCCCTCAAACGCTTCGTGGCCCAATATGGAGCTCCACCGAAGGCCCCAATGACTGCGCCCGCATGCGTCCCCGCCAGATATCGGCCCACACTTTACACGCAGTGTGGCCCCACAATGAGATTCACCGAAGGCGAGACCCACATCGGCAATACTCAAGCCTGTACATGGCTGGGCCCTTCGCCTGGACGGTCTGTTTTGTTACGCGGCCCCCTGGCGTGCACCTGCTTAGCCTGAGGGTGGTGCTTGCGAGACCGAGCACGCTCGCCAACGGATGTTCAGTCTCCATGCCGCAGCCCCCATCTGAGCTGACCGAGCTGGGCTGGGCTGATATAGAGGCGGACGGGGGCGAGGCGCCTTTTTGCCGCGAGGCGGCTCTGCGGGGCCACAGCCCTCACCGCCCCCCCCCGCCCTCCTTCTCTTCCCCCTCCTCCTCCTCCTCCTCCTCCTCCTCCTCCTCCTCCTCCTCCGTGCTCCTTGCTCGTCCCCTTCCCTCCACACCCATCCCTTCACTCCTGTCCATTTTCCAGGCGGAGGAGGACGAGGAAGACAGGATGAGGAGGTGCTCGAAGGGAGGATCGGGGGGATCGGGAGGTGGAGGAGGGGCGGGAGGATGTCCCGCCGATGCCTCCTCCCCCCCGTCTCGGAGCCCATCCGCCCCCGCGGGCCAGGGGGCGCGCAGCCGACACGCCTTCCAGCGAGTCGGGAGGAGCCCCCGTGCGCCTGCCTCCCCCGAGGCGGCCGTGCTCGTGACCGACAGCCTGGAGCGCTGGCCTCGGTCGGCCCCGTCGCGCCCAGGAGGGGGGAGGAGGGAGTCCCAGCGGCGCCGTGGGAGGGGGGGGGGAGTCCCAGCGGCGATCCGAGGCGACGAAGGGGCAGTCCTTGGCGTGGGGTCCAGAGCCCCACGGCCCACGTCGTGAGCGGAATGCCCCGTGTGAGGCTTCAGACAGGGCGCGCAGTTTGCAATCCAGCGTGCTGCGGGGGCTGCAGCTCTCAATCTTGGGTGTTGCCGCCCTCTGGATTCCGAGGTGGTGTCTGGTAGAAGGAAACTGGCGCGTGGCGCCGCTCAGCCGCTTCGACGCGCAGGGCGACTTGCTCAGTGACGAGGCCAGCACTACCGCATCAGCATCGCGCTGCATGCTGGAATACACCAGGACACGCGTTTGTGGCAGGCCATACAATCTGCGCGCTCTCCGCACGTAGCTGTTCTACGTTCTCTGGCTACCGTTCGGCCCCATCGACGCCACGGCTGAATTCGGGTCGGGCAAAGTGTCAGGATTGCATTCATGATGGGCGAGAGTCCGAGTTCGACTATGCGTGGGTAGAAGAAGGCACACGTTATCACGTAGGATCAGGGAACCTCAGTTCTCGCCCGCTTTCTCTATCGCAGGTGGCATTCGTGTCCATGGGCAGGCGCTCACTCATCCTGTCGAGAGCTGGCTCAGCGTTTACGTTGATATCCCCCCAAACTCATGCCCAGGTGTTTTGTCTGAGTTTATTGATGGTAATGGAGACGGTGGCGGACTAGCTTTTTTTGTCACGCCTTATTTATGTGGGGACTGGCTGGTTCTGTTTATGATTTAGGCGTTACCTTTGCTCCTTCCCCTCATAGTCCTCTGCTGCGCCTGCTAACGCAGTGTCCTTGTTGTCATCGTGGTCCTACTCCACTCCCCGTTCCTTCACCACACCATCCGTGCAATCCACCTGCTTCAAGGCACAGAACAGGGCGGAGCCAGAGCATTGCCAATATAACCCAGGAGCAAGGGCAGAAGGCATGGGACAAAGAGGAGGACAAGGAGGAGGACAAGGAGGAGAAGAAGAAGGAGAAGGAGGAGGAGGGCTGCGGAGAAGGAACGGGAGGACGAGGAGCAGGAGCAAGGGCGATGATGCCACATAGCTTGAGCATGCGGGGGGGCATTGAGCAGGGAGGGTCAGACAAGGGATGAGGGACGACGGAACGCGGAGGAAGGAGAAGGGATACGAGGAGGTGGAAATGAAGAAGATAGAAGGAGGAAGCCGGATGGAGGATGTGTGCATGTTTTGTGAGCCTGAGTGGGAAACATTGGGGGAAGTTCAGGAGAGGAGGGAGGAGAGGAAGAGCGATGGATGGTCAGACGGTGGAGATGGGAGGAGTTACGCTAGGTATATCGTAGATGTTGGCCCTCCCAGACTTCTGCATCCGCCGGCGGGCGTATCGGTTCTGCAGCGAGCGGACGCCGGGTTCGCTGGATCGGCGCCCATGAGCCTGGAGGAGGCAGGGAAAGAGGAGGGAGGATAGAGGGGGGGGGAAGGAAGGAGGGAAACAGGAGGGTGGAGGGTTGACCAGCGACGAGGGGGGATCGTTCAAAGAAGCGGGTCGATGGGCCGGAGAGGAGGGATAGGGGAAATCAAGACTGCGTCCCAGACTTCGTTGTCTCGTACGGCCCCCCGGGGGTTACCCGCGTGGCGGGCGGAATAATGATCAAAGAGGGGAAGGATGAAGATGGAGGATGGAGGAGGACTGGAGGGAGAGGATGGACTGGGAGGGAAGCGTGAGGGAAGAGGAGAGGTTGGGGGGCGCGGGGGCGGAGGAAGAGGAGAATGGGGGAGGGGACGCGGGCCGAGGAGGAGGAGGACGAGGAGGGAGAGGAGGAGGAGGAGGAGGAGGACGAGGAACTGCCGGAGGGAGGTGCCAGGCCGAGGGCCCGCCGCCCGACGGCAGAGAGCGCCCCCTCCCCAGCGCGGACGCCATCCGGGAGGCCCTCGGCCTGGGCCCGCCCGAGGCCAAGGCTCCGTGGCGGCGGCGACGGCGGTGGCGGTCGAGGAGGAGGAGGAGGAGGAGGAGGAGGAGGAGGAGGAGGGAGGAGGAGGAGGAGGGAGGAGGAGGAGGAGGAGGAGGAGGAGGAGGAGGAGGGAGGAGGAGGAGAAGGAGGAGGAGGAGGAGGAGGAGGAGGAGGTGGCCACGTCGGGCACGCGGCAAGTCGTCGTTCCGTCCCTCCCCCCTGTCTGCGCCACCTGTGGGGCTCGGGGGGCAGCGGGAGGACGGAGGGACGGAGAGGGGGGCAATGGGGGCGCGTGGGCAGGGCGTGGGAGGGAGGCGGGGAGGGGTGAGCGTGGGGTGGGCATGGGGGGGAGGGGAGAGGGGGTGTTGGAGGGCACGGGGGAAGAGGGGAAGACAGAGGAGGATCTGACCACTTCAATCTGACTTCGGATGATTCTTATTATGTGGTCACCGTTGTTCCTCATCCTCTGATCCTTCCTCTTGTTACCCCTCCTATCCTTCACGTTCCTCCTCCTACCCCCTCCTCGGCCTTCTGCTACTCATCCTTTTCGTCCTCCTCCCACCCTTTTCCTCCTCTGGCCCCCTCTTCATCTTCCTCCTCCTCCTCCTCCTCCTCCTCCTCCTCCTCCTCCTCCTCCTCCTCCTCCTCCTCCCCTCATCATCCACATCCTTCTCGTCCTGGTCCCTCCCCCTTCCCTCATCTTCCTCTCCCTGCTGGCCTTCATCGTATTGCTTCTCATTGTCATCCTCCCACCCCGCGTCATCCCTATCCCCTTGCTCATCCTTCTCGTCCCCTTGTTTTTCTCTCCCTCCTGGCCCATCGTCTGTTCATTCATTATATTAATTGTCCTCTCTCCTTCTCCGCCTCCTCCTTTCGCCTTCGCCTTTCTCTTCTCCCGTCTCATCCCTTCTCTTCCGTAGCAGCGTTTTGGCTCAAGCCATTTGGTTGACTGGGTTTTCGTTTAAGCCCACTATGGGTCAGCAGTCGTGTACCTAGATCCGGCCGCTGGACCGCCGCAGCTCGCGCGGAGCTGAGGTGCGGTATGCTCGATTGCGTTCCCTGCCCCCCCCCCCTCGAGTCGTTCCCTGGCGTCCAGGCGGACGCCCCGACGGCTCAGAGTTCGGTCGCGACTGTTTCCGTGCAGGCACCGGGAGCCCAGGTGCATGCCACGGCGGCTGAGATGTTCGGCCGGCATCATGTCCTGGATGTCGAGAGGGCCCATACAACACTAGGAAAACCCCACTCAGCGCATGGTTTGAAACCTTGGCGTGAGTGTGCGAAAGACCTTGCGATCGACTGTGCATTCCATAGTACGACCTGGTAGCACGATCGAACGTGATATCGAAAATCAGATCGATCTCACCCGATCGATCGATCGAAGCTGGAGCCAGGAACCCGGGAACCCCGCGATCGGGAGCGCGGAACGGGGAACCCGGGAACCAAGAGCCCGGAATCGGGAACCCGGAATACCGGGAACCCGGAGCCAGGAACCCGGGAACCCGGCGGCCTACCGAAATCGGTTGTGCATTTTCGCTAAATCATTCAAGGTCCGTTAGGACCCTTTTCTGTGCAATCACTGATTGACACGACGTGTGTTGTGTTCCAAGCGTGCTCAAAGGAGTGTGTAAACGCGCGAACGATAAGATGGTTTCCCGTTTGGCGAGCCACTTGCGTACACAAGTGGGGTCTCAGGTTCAGGGCTCCAGCCCTCTCACGGGCTGCATCTTGCAGCTCGCAACGCGTAGGGATTATTCTGGGTTGTGGTTAACACCACGCTGGACAATGGCAATTTGGCTACGACAAGTGGTTGCACCCAAACACCATGCAATCCATCGCGTGTGCCGCACAGCCGTGCCATATACCCGCACGCGCGAAGAAGGTCTACATCCTCCGGCGAGGCCCATTTGCGGGCGTGCAGAAGCACATTCCAGACAAGCGTGCAGGCGTCTTTTCAAGACTAGCCGGCCGAAGGCTGCGCAGCTGGGGCTCGAGCAGTGGCCTGCGAAGCTCGAGGAAGGGGAGGAGTGCGCGTTTTTCACGCCGCCCCGTCTAATGTAAGCATGCATGATCCTTTCTAGCAGATCGTCCGTTCTTCCAGTGAAGCGTTCTGCGTGCCTGAAACCCAGCTTGCGCCCGCGACGGATGTCGAGTCGTCAAGCTGGCAGTGGGGCGACCTCATTGCGCTGTCAGGACCCTGCCCTGTGGGCAGGGACAATTGACGCGCTACGGGGGGATATAGTCAATGCGCTCCTCTCCGCACCACTATCCCGCTGCTCTTGCCTTCTCTCCTTTGCACTGCCGCGTGCTTTATCCGAGAGCTGCAGCTATATCGGCTTATGAATAGCAGAAAAGGAGCGTGCCCGCCCTCGCGCGCGCCGGCCGGCGGGCCGGCCTCTTCCCTTCAGGGTTATTCTACAGCCAGCTCAACGGAACACTCCGTCCTCGCCAGGGCTTCGGCGGAGCCCCATTCATCATGAGACGCTATCGGGGCAGATTGCAGGGATTATCGATGTCTCGGCAAGAATCAGGTTATCAGCCGAAACGACGGCTCCGCCGTTGGCTTCGCTGAGCATGGTAGCACAGGAAGGAACGGTCGGACACTTAGAACATCAACACCGCCCCGATAATAGTAGCGAGAAGAGCGCCTCCAAGAGGCGGCCTAGTTCTCTCAATCTTTCCAGAGGGCAAGCATTGGAGTCCGTGTTTGATTTGACACAGGGAGATGCCCCGATTGTTAACCAGACGAAGATAAGAGCTCACACGCCGGGCGGAGGGCATGGCTCAGCCAGCGCTTCCGTCAGAAGGCAATCTGAAATCAAAATCAGCGCACTCAAGCCAAAGGACGTCGGGCAACTCGATCCACGGAGAAGAGATTTCGCCAAGAAATGTTCCCATAGGAATGGCGGGCGAAGAAAATCGGAACGAGGAACTAGTAACACATCTTGTGATGAACGGACAGGGCGAAGACGAGCGCGACGGACAGTCAGAGGAAGAGAGCTCACATTCGATTGAAAAAGAGCGAAGTGTACGCACACTTTCATATGTCCCCTGGCCCATCACCTCATCTCAGTCCTCTCCGGGGCGACTCTGACGGGCCTGCATCAGGCGTAGACCTGTCAGATACGGAGACGATTGATTACGCGCCGGCTGAGGACCTTTAGAAGACCCCCCTTGAGTCGGATGACGAGCGTGGGGATGAAACACGCCCCGACAGAAAGACAGCTGGTCGTGGAAGGGAGAGTTTGTCGGCTCAGCCGATGGTGAATTCGCCCGATGCCACGCGCCCAGCCCGGCATGCGAGAGAACCGACCGGTGCGACCCCGCTCCCGAAGACAAATGGAACAAACAGCGATACTGAAGATTTTAATCCTCCACCGTTATCGCAGGGTTTCTATCGACCAGATTTCATGCTGCCAAGGGCTGACCATGGCTGCGTATCAGAGCTTGGCGAGCTCATTATGCAAGACGAAAGGGGCGAGCAAACGCAGAGACAACGCGATGCCCTTAGGAACGCGGGGTCAATGACGAGGGAGCAACATACACCCACATCCAGCAGGTGTCATGAAACGGCTCGAAGAGCCGGACGCCCCAGCTCAAGGGGATTTGGCGCCTTCGAGTCACCTCGCCCACTGTCAAATAGGACCGCCGGCAGTTTTTCGATCTGGGACAGCTGCCGGAACGCAGGCTCCAGATGCTCGCCTCAGGCGGAGAAGCGGTGCCCGGGGGAAGCGCGCAAACCGGGGGGTTCGCGTCGCCGACCTGCATGCGCACAATGTTCGAGGGTGCGCCCGACGTGCGGCTTAGCTTGGCTCTGGGAAGAATTCATAACGCTGGAGGAACATATGCGCCGTCGCATCGTCATTCAGGAGTGGTGAGAAGAAACAGAGACAGGAGAGGGAGCATATGAGAGCAGCATGTGCACAGATGCAATCGATTTTTCTGAAGGCATATGCGGATAAGTTGGCCGCCGATGAAGCCAGCCGCGGGCTCGCAGAATCCGAGGCAGAACAGCGAGGGCAATGGCAGATAGAGCTGAAAAGGAAAAGGCCGCCATTGCAGACGGCGCGCAGGAACGGACGCCGCAAGCGGAGGCGGAAGTGGCCGAGATTGCGGACGCGAGTCAGCGGCGCCTCGCCCAAGACGAGGAAGAACACCGAAATACTCAGAGTGCGGCCGAACAAATGCTGTCATCGTCTCAACAGCAGACCGAGAAAGAGCGAGTTTAATGTCACATGATAGGTGGCGCCGCCAGACGGGAAGGATAGATAGAGGCACGAGAACAGGCAGCACGAGAGAGCCAGGAGCTCCGCAATCAACGCGACGCGGCCAGGCTCAAGGCCGAAAGGGTGAAATTAGAAGCGGCGCGAACGCTCCAGGAGCAGGGGCAGGAGACTCAGGCACTAAGACACGATGATCAAGCAAGGGTGGCCGAAGCCTGGAACCGCGCTAAGGGGTGCGCAGATGAGCAATTCAAGGAGGCTGCCTTCACTATTCGTGCCGCGAGCGAAGAAAACTGAAGGCTGAAATCTGACCTGGGGCACCGCAGGACTGCGAGGGAGCCCCTAGAGGAGATTCGGAGAGCCAGGCAACCTGGCGCAGTAGTTGCGCCAGAGATCAAGTTTACACCTGCGGCTCTGCCGGGAGGTGTTGGATCGCAGGAGAGGGCTAACTTAACGCCGGCTCAGCCGACGTATGTTGAGCCTCCTCCGAGTCAGAATGTTGTCGCCCGGTTCGTGTGAAGACGACCGGGCCGATTCGAACGCGCATGGATGCGCCAGATGATCCGCGTCGCATTTGTTCACAGCATGTCATCGGGATCTGCGTGGGGCGCGCGAAACCCACATGCAGGGAACGCCTGGGCGGAGGTACAAGGAGGTGCGCAGAGTGCGCCGGGAGCACAGAGTTCAGGGAACATGACGACCCCGTGATAGAGGAAGAGCAGCTAAGCATATCTGCAGACATTCACCGCAATAGAAGCCATGCAAGTGAGACGGCGCCGAGACGTCATTTCAAGGCGCCAGATGCATTTGAAAGGCTAGAAGAACACAAGGCATGACTGGCAGCCATTGAACTAGATATCGACGCTGCCAGAGCAGACCAAAACATGTTGCGGAAGACAAAGGAAACTACAGTACAACAAGACGCTGGATTGGAACAGCAGGCTAGCAATTTCTCCGCGGTCATGGGTGTACCATCGTTCGAACCAACGGAATCGGATTTTGACGAAAGGGATGAGGCCGGCGGGCCGGCCTCCTCCCTTCATGGTTATTCTACAGTCAGTTTAACGGAACCGCCCTTCCTTGCCATGGCTTCGGCGGAGCCCCTGATCATGAGACACGATCGGAACTTATTGCAGCGGCTATCGATGTCCAGGCAAAAAGTTGAGATTGGCCCTCTGTTCGCCTCACAAAGCATGGGCTGCTTTGACGAGGACGCTCATGCGCTCGAGTTCGAGGTCGCGGCGGGCGACGCGGCGTCGAGCTCCTGACACACGGCTGCATTATCAGGACTTGTCTCCTGGGGCCGATGGACGAGTCGCGCATGCCTTCTGACTGCGCGTTCTCCTCGTCTGAAACATGAGTCAGGGAAGTTATCTTCCTAAAGACTGGCGTTGTCGTTTTCACATCGCATCGTCGTATTATTTGGCCTCTGCGTGTCACCATTAAAACACATAGCTCGGGTTTTTTTTTCTTGGCGCCATGCCTCGTGGCATCTACGGTCCCAGGACACAAACGCCGCAGACAGACTGCAAGCATCTCTTCCCGCGTGTCATCGCCACCGCCGTTGCTGACCATGCCATCGAGCACTCCCTTATGTTGTCATGATCGTCATGCATCCTGGCGCCCGCATCGCCGTTGTCACCATCACTTGCATCATCCAAACGAGAGGCGCGGCGCGCGGCTGAATGACTACATCGACGATGGTGGCGATGACGACGACTACGGCGACGGTGCAATTGCCCGCGACGACGAGGTCGCCCGACGACTGTCGGCGACGACGAGATCCATGAGCAGGGATGCGGCGGGGAACTGGTCTTGAGGTTTTACCCTGCCTGCCCTTCCTGGCCCCTCCACGGGCCCACGGACTGCCAAACAAACAGTGCTCAGGACGAATATTCACTCGCAGTGGAGCAGCCCCCCAACGAAGGCCCGTTTCCCTCAGGACCCGCTCTTTTCATGCCGATGTCCCAGCTGCAGGGTCGACGACGACGAGGAGGGAGACCAACATCATCTGGCAACGCAGACGCAGCGCTGACGAGTGTGCAGAGGCCGGGACGAACGCGCCGCTCGCCCTGAGGGAGCTCGCGCTGCTCTGCGGCGCGCCGCGCCTGGGAGAAGGGCGGCGGAGGGGTGTCCGAGGCTGGAGCGTATTCATGCAATCGGTGGCGAAGCGTCATGACCTGGCTTTGCCCACCAAATCATGTTTCAAGACGCGCCGCCCCGCTCTTGCGGGTAAGATTGAGGGGGCGGGAGGGTTGTTCACGGGATGGGTCGCGGAGCGGGTCGCAGGGTAGGTCGCGGGTGGGTCGCGGGTGGGCTGCGGCGGGGGAGGGGGGACAACGACGAGAGCAACAAAATAACGCAACGCAGCACCAGTAAGAATGCGCGAAGCGGAATCACATTTCGGCCACGCGTTCAGGGACAATGAATGGCCGTGGGGCTACCTCGTTCGGATGTTGTCTGTGCGAAACATGTTTCGAACATTTTTGGCTGAGACAGTCGCGTTTTCACCCATCGGTATCACACTATGACAGCATTGTGCTCGTTGTTGGTGTGCTCTTTTGTTATCAGGGCAGCTGTAGGACTGCAGGGCTGCCTAGACGGTCGGCCTCTGCTCAATACGCGAGGCGCGCTCCAGAGAGGGCCTCGCCTCCAGCGGGAGGCGGCGGTGGGCTCGGCGGAGGGAAAGGAAACAGCGGCGGGCCCCCGCCAGCGGAAGCTCGGCGGCGGAAGTTACGGTGCCACGCTCTTTCAGAGGAGGAAAAGGTACCGATACCGCTACCCTTCGCCCGTTTTCCCATTTTTCGGCCTCCTCGGAGGCTCTCGTTGTCACCGGTGGATGTGGCTCGAAATCTTGGTCAGAACGCACCCCGGGAGAGGTCCGGGGAGTAGCGGTATCGGAACCTTGTGGTTTCCCCATTCTTGGGGGACCCAGGGTGTCCGGAGCTGGACGTATCCACCGCCTAGGGAGGCGGTGGATATGGATCTCAAGTGGCCTTCGGACCACCCCGCCACCGCGCCTGGGCAGGTCAGGGGCCTGTTGGGTGCGTGTGAGGATCTCCTTGGAGGCCGTGTCTGAAGCCTCTTGAAGGCGGTCTTGGGGTGCCGTCGCGGCCTCTTGGGGCCTGATTTGGGCTTCTTCAGGGCGCTTCTGAGGGGACTCCTGTGGCTTGCTTGCGGTTTCGTGTTAATCCTAAGGCCAAGGGTTCGACATGTTGGTTCGTGCTCCCCTTTGGGACTCTTGGGTCCTCTAGGGCCGTCTTGGTTGGGCGGTTTTGGAGTGTCGGAAGCCCAGAAACTGCGAGAACAACAAGTTCCTTCGAACATCCAAGAAGCATGTCTGTGTTTGTTGCCTCTTGGGGCCGTCTTGGCGGGCCTCTCGGAGCTCTTGTGGGGCGTCATAGGGGGACCATGGGCTGTCTTGAGATCATCTTGGGCGTCGGGAGTTGTTTTTAGGCCATCTTGGATGCCTTTGGGACCATCTTGGAGGCCTCTTGAGGCCCTCCTGGTCCGTCTTGAGGATCTCTTCGCCTCTGTGAGAAGCTAGCGAGAATACTCGGGGACACGCGACGCACCCCAAGAAATCTGGCAATTTGTTGTCCGGCCCCGTGAAAGATATTAAAACCCCGGGACTGAGGACGGAGAGTTCAAGGGACTTGAAGACCCTCCATTTCGTGCCTCGCGGCGCGGTGGCGGATATTCGGGCCCCTTGTTCACCAGTATTCGTCTTAGCCAAGGATGCCAGAGTAGACTCAAGAACTGGACGCGCGATTTTTGCGCGTTGATGTCTCATGCGTTTGCTGGTTTGCTGGGATGCTCGCGGACGGTTTACGATGCTCACAAGCGAGCCCCAGGAATCAATTTGGGTTTTTTGGGTGTGGTCAATCTGGGCGTTAGTTCAAGCGGCCAATGTCGCGCGGCCAACATTCAGGAATCTCTTCCCGCTCCTCACATCCCCCTCTGGCACCGCCTCTTGCTTGCCGTTCGTCGCCATGGGGCCGGATTGCCCGCGCACGGGGCGGCAGGGCCGACAGTCCTGTCGGCGTTGGCCAGCTTGTTGTCAGACGGGATTCTGGCTTGGGGCGCCCGGCACCCGCTCCCGGATCCCTCGGTGTCTCTCGTCGGACGGGGCGCCGCTGCCAATGTCCGCGGCGCCATGACCCAGATTACCGCACGTGCGAACTTGCCCACGGCGACCGCCCTGAAGTGGGCTCCGGGGATCAGCAGCGATCGGCCACGCGCAGATGGGGGTAGGGGGAGGGGGGAAGGCTTCTTAGAAGCACCCCTGCTTCTGCTTCTAAGAGGCCGTCACCCCTCCCCCTACCCCCCTCGTGCGCGCCGCCAAAACGACGAACCTTCTCCCCGGCGGGTGGTGCAGGTGGTTCTGGTGCGCGCCGCGGGCCATAGGAAGCGTTTGTTTGTGTTGGCTGCCCCACGGCCTGCTGCCCTCTTTTACCGCCCCGGGTCAGAGGTGGCCCAAATTTACCGATACCGCTACGCCTCAGCCATTGTGGCTCAAGTGATACATCCTTCGAGATGGTTCAGGAACCCATGGTCCTCCTTGGCGGCAGCCCCTTCCTGAAGGCTGCCCAGGTGCTGCCTTTTTCGGCCACTCCCTAGTGGTCAGGGCTTCGATTTTGTCTATCTCCCTTTGCAGGATCGCTCATGCCGATGCGTCCTCTGATGCATCTACGATTTTGGAAAAATTGGCATCGATGAAAGGTGAGCTGTTTGGTGTTATTGCTTAGGCCAGTGCGAGGATTGGCCAGTCAGAGGTCCAGGTGCAAGGCTTGCAGCAGCAGCAGCAGTAGCAGCAAATCAATTCCATCATAAAAATGCAGAACCTCGTGAACTCCATGTCCGCCCCGTGGGACAGCCGCTTCCGGTCCATCGCGCGGGCCAATTATCCACCGCGATCCCGATGAATTTCAACAGTTGTTGTGGTCTTGGTGGTACTATGCGAGCTGCGGTTGAGGCTTGCACGAATGGGCAATTTCATTGGTAGATGAGCAACTCGCTTCGATTTCACGTCCGTCACCGACAGCTCCGATATCGATCGACGATGATCGTCGTAATCGACCTGCTGCGCAACCTCTTCCTGCAGAACCCTTTCCGCATCTGGATTGGAGTTTGGCCTCGTGAGGCTTTCTCGAAGTATCCTAAGGAGCATTTGGAATGGTACAGGGCTCAGTCCATAGACTCTTTTTGCTGATGCCACACCAAACTTTCAACGCACCAGTCGGTCCTACTCCATTGCCCTCAGCTGTTCTGATCATCCTATGCGTTTCGTGGGCCTTCACGTCCCCTTCACTTTGGCGCGACTACCTTGGAAAGCCGATCCAGTTCCCGATTCGGGTTCGTGGTGACAGTCCGCTGCCTGCGAGGCTGAGGAAGGCGAAGTTGGTGAACAAGGATATATGGGCATAGATGTTTCATATGTACTGTTCTGGTAATGGTGGGGTCGTTTCCAAATCTCGACGGCCGATGTCTCCTGGACGTTGTGCATGCTCAAAGTTGAAGATGTCCAGTTCGTGATTGTTCCCAACCGTGCGGGGTTGCATCAGTGGAAGTTTTCGGATGTGCACATTGATTCCGTTGTTGACATTGCAAACCAGAGCAAACCGCACCTGCATAATTGAGTCTGACGGAAACCCAGGAATTGCCAGGCGCCTGGGATACAGCCAGGGGGTTGGGTGCCTCATCTCTTCGGATGTGTGCGACCCGTTGTGCTGTGACACGCCTGAGCATGTCATGCTCTCGGATGCTGTGCGTGCGAGTGGCGCGCCTTCGCTGCCTGTGTTGCGGGTGTTGCCCACCATGTGCGTGATTATGTAGATGCACCGTGTCGGGCGAGTGATGGTATTTCGTTATACTTCTCCCCTCCCACTCCCATGTTTCTATTGACGTGGAATGCTGAATGGTTGCTTGTGTCTGTGTGCTTGCTTCGTCAGGACCGTGCTGCCAGGAATGTGAGATGTTTCGAATCCTCGTGCAATTTGCACGGCATCCTTGCTACCCAAGAAGTCCATGGACAGCCGAATGATATTGATTATCTGTCTTTCCAGATCCCTTCTCACTAATATGGCTACTTGGTTTTCATGGTCGTGACAACGCAGGTGGAGTTATTGCGGTTGTGGGCAGTCGTCAGATGCATTCATTTCCTCCCCTGTGAGGAACCCCCATGGGGCGCTTCAATATTGTCAACGTGCATCCGCCTCGCGTGGCGGATTCCTTTCACGCGTGCCTGAACGTGCTTCGCGCGATCCGCCGCGAGGCCCGCATGGAGCCAGCGGTTTCTCGATCCTTTCAGGCGATTGGAATTCCAGCCTGCATGGTCTGGCCGTCACAAGTTGCATCGGGGTTTCTGACATGCGCTGATGTTCATGACTGCGTTCAACTGGATGGAATCCTTCCACGAGCACGACGCTGAGGGGGGGGGGGGGGGGGGCGCGGTGAGCGGGGTCCCGGACCACGCTGCCCGCTTAGAACGGATGTATATATGTGTATACATATACACGTGCAGATACACACTCATACGCATTTACATACACATATACAATGCATATACATATACATATACATGCACTGTTAAATGCACATGCCACATATACATATAACTATGCACATGCATACTTACATACATACATACACGCAAACACACATATCTGTACACACTCACATATATATACACATATTGTTTGGCGGTCAACACTGTTTACAGTAGCTTGAGAAGCGGAGAGCATGCGTACCCCGCTGTGGTAAGCCAAGTCGAACGATTTTTTCTGGAGAGTGGGACAAGCTCCTGGCCGCGCTTCCTGCTGGCGAGCCTGTTGGCGCCTGTTTGGGGCGAACTAAATCTGGCGTGCGCTCTGATGCCTCCCGTGATTCGGTGTGCATGCAGCGTCGGCCTGCTTGTGCCCTTGAGGGATGTCATCTGGGATTCCATATGGGCCTGTTGGGAGTCCATCTGGGCTAGCGCCTTGGAGATGCCTCTCGGGCCTCGTTCGACGCCCATCGGGCACTTTCCTGGGGGCGTTTCGGGCCCCCCCGAATATGTGCCCCGCGCGATCGTGGCTTTTTTTTCCACCAAGGCGATT